CTGTTTTCTCTTCTCCTTTGGTTGAAATATGACCCTACCACTGATGGGTCTAGAATTATGAGGTTAAGCAACAAGGCCGTTACTATTGTGACGACAACGTCTGAGGCCCACCTTCCTCTTGGGACCCCTGCCAACATCTTCAGAAGACATATGATTCATCAGCAAGAAGATTATGCTCCAAAAAATCCCAGCCATTCGTGTTCTGCCGTTCTAATGTCACTCAATGAACAGATGCTGCTCAAAGAATATGTCAAGAGCCACTGGGTTCACCAGCTTTCACCCACAGACCATAAAAGAGTTTGTGATTTTAATCAAAGTTTGTCATCCACCCAGAACTTAAGAAATGAATTTCGATAAAAGGACATTTAAGCTTCTGAAAGTTACCTAGTCCTACAGCCACAAGGGTGAATTCTGGGTCCAAAAAGAAAAGAAAAATCAATGATGACAATTATTTTACTAAATTATTTTAAACTGCAGCGTATGGAGAAGGCTCAGGTAAATGTCGGCTGTCATACCGACAAGCAGTGCTGTCCCCACCACTGACCTTTTTCTTGTTAAAATGCATGTCAATATGCAAAATAGAAGTGTTCTCTATCAGAGCCAAATGTGCTCTCCATTTCTAGGGGTTTCCAAAACAATCTGGAGAAAATGGAATTCAAGGGACAATTCTGTTTTGCTAGAGACATGAACAAACAACCTTTAAAAATTGTCTTATTTGAGGGTTGGCTCTTTCATCATGCCAGCTCTTGTTTCAGTGGATTCAGACCTGAACTTCCTTCAGAATAAGACGAGATGTGTGGGATGCCCTGATAACAAAACATTCCACAATACCTCAGTCATTCAGAGCTCACATCTCTGCCAACCTCCACATCTAGAATAATCCAAAAGTCAGGAGAAGCATAAGAAATGAACTTCAGAACAGTCACAATAGAGGCTGCCAAACCCAATCGCTTTGCTAATGAGAGAGAGATAATTAGAATCTACGGATGCCTATACAACTGGTAGTAAAAAGTCTAACAGTCTGGGTCTATCAGTCAAGCGCTCATCAGAGATCAGAAGGCACCACTGTCAAATGAGGGTACTTCACAGACAGCTCAGAAAAGGAGCGTGTGGCCTAGGACAGTCAAGGATACCACCATCCCCCGCCCGATGGGGCAAGGGTCAGAGGAGTTTCCAGAATCAGGAAGAAGGAAAAGCTGTGTGGACAAGACTGCCTTGACTATAGCGGCCTGGCGGAAACAATGAGCCGAGACAAACCCAGAGGAAGGGAGCCTAGTGGGTAACACCCCAGCCTCACTCTCTCCTCTCCCAGCTGGCTGAATGGAAAGCTGGAGGGGGCGGGAGCAGGTGGGCACTGCTCCTAAATATCAGAGGGGAAGGTGGATCTGCCCAGGCAATCAGAGTCAGGGAGACCCGATGGGTCCGTGCGGATTTCTCATCTCTCGGCATCTGGGGAAACCCGAGGTGACGGTTGGGTAAGCACAGGGCCATAGCCAGAGGGATTTCTGATAAGAGCGAAGAAGAGACCATTTTTACAGCTGATGCTAAGATATTCCAGTATGTTCTTGGTTCACTCAGAGCGCACAAATGCTCTCCCCAGAGAAATTCAGACACACATCATATGAAACAAGACCATTTAAGGGAGGGCTCCACTTCTCCGTGGTGCTGGCAGATGCCTCTTCCATCTAGATACGTCGATAATTTAATAACAAATGCCCCAGAAAAGTTTACAAAGACTTCCATAAGCTCATCTTCAACAGGCAGAGACATGTTTAGGAGATTCTTAGAAGGTTTCTCTCCAAAGAGGTTAAAATTCATTGGTTCATACACGAAACGCAAAAATCATAATTGACATTTTATTGAGTTCTTACTATGCATTGGGAACTTTACACGCAAATACCATTTTATCCTCGCCTTCGCCTCATGAGCTAGTATGATTATTTCATTCTCATTTCACACTAGACAGTTAAGTAATCTGTCCAAGTTTCCACAGCCAGAAAGATCCAGTGCCTGGCATAAATGTGGGCACTCTGGCTCCAGAGCCTGCATTCCTAACCAGACACGCAGTCCCTCTTTTCCACGTTCCCAGCACCTGCTGTGTGTAAAGCAGAATGCAAAGATGATTTTTAAAAATCAAAAGAAAGAAGCACTTTGTGGTGCCTTAGTTAATCTAAGTACAGAAGAGGCACACGTGGTCCAACAGGCCGCTACTGCTGGGCGGCACGTCACAATCGACTAACAGCTTAACGACGCCCGTTAGTCAGCTCCTGGTCTATGACGGGCCAGAAGTCCAGGCGGGGCACGCTGGGTTTTCTGCTCCAGGTCACATAAGGCTGAAGCCCAGGGACTGGCTGAGCAGCATTTGTGTCTGCGGCTAGAGGCGCTCTATTTCCTACCTCCCTCAGATTGCTGGAATAATCCAGTTCCTTAAGGCTGGAGGGACTGAAGTCTGTTTTGTCTGTGGCTGTTGGCAAGGACCACTCAGCTCAAGAGGCCACCAGACTCCTTGCCATGTAGCCTCCTCCATCCTCACAGCTGGCAACAGACACCCGCATTCATGTCAAATCCCTTCCACTCTTTACACCTTTCTTCATGAACTCTCAGCTTCTCCTTCAGAGGCTCACCTGATAAGGCCAGGCCCACCCACGACAATCTCCCTCTTGTGAGGTCAACTCATTGTGCATCTTAATTTATGTAGGCAAAACCCTTTTTTCCATAGGAGTGAAAAAAATCCAAAATCTTTTTTTCATCATATTTACAGGTTCCTCCCACACTCAACGGGGCGGGGTGGGGGATTATCCAAGGCAACTGACACGAAGGATCATACTAGAATTCTGCCTACAACCTCTGGTATTAGCAGAGCATGAATACAGAGCTAATAATGTAGACATAGAAGCCATTAACCATGCAACTTTGACTTCACGTTATACAGGTGGTCCCTGCACTCAATCACTGTTACTCAAGTTGCCTGATTTCTCTGAACCTCAGGGCACTTCCTTTCACTGATGTTATAAAAGGAATAGTATATACCTCAAAGGGTTGATGGGAGGAGTAAGGATTAACTCTGTTTGACTACCTAGCACGGTACCTGGCAAAGAGGAGGCACTGAGTAACTCTTAGCTATTGGAATTAACATTAGCATTGCTGTTAACATCTATGGTGCTATTCATATTTGCATTATTTAACCAGAATTGAGATAAGCTCAGAATGAGTTTATAGCACAGCCGAGAAAATCTCTGGCTTATGTGTTTTAACATGGATTCTGGGAGCAATAAACGTGGTCACTGATGCATCAACTCAGAAATAAAAGCAAGTGGCCCCTGGCAAGAAAAGAACAAGAATATCTCACATTCCATCTCCATTTACAAGAGATATATCACTCTTTATAGATTCCTGCAACAACAAGAACACAAAGGTTTCCAGAGAGAAAAGCCTGAGATATTCTAATATATGGACAAAAACATTTGTATGATTCTTCAAAGCACAGTCTCCACCCAAAGCAGACAAGCAACTAAAAAGATAAAAATGTCCCCCTCTATTTATTTAAACTATCACAAGCTCCTCATTTGCACTTGCTTTCATTTGAACAACACTGTGTGTCAGGCAACTTCCTACAAGATAGAACTTATTTTAGCTCCTTTTGCTTCATCAGTCAAGGGAAAGCACTCAAGGAGATGAGGTGGGCACTGCTTCATCAAGGGGGACTATGTCCTTCCTGGGAGCATCACCCTCTTTAAGAAGAACAAGGAAGCATTTTCCACTTTTGTTTAGAGCAGTGGCCTCGAAAATTGAAAATAGACAGGAAAAAAAGACATTAGATCTTCTATTTATACTTATTTTCATGCTAAAAATGAGAAAGAAATTAAGCTTTGTTATATTTTTAATAAGCAGCTTGGCACTTGTCTCACTCGATCTGAGTCACTTGCATATGGTGTTGCAGGAATCCTGAAAAAAGATGGGAATCCTACAACCCAGCAGAATTCTTATTCCTTCCAGCCTACAGCGTCTTCAGGTTTTTCCAGTTTACACATGCCCAGTAATAAGGATCCACAGATTTCACTACCTGCTCATCACTATGGGAGCTTCTCAGGTGGCACAGTAGTAAAGAATCCGCCTGCCCATGCAGGAGACCCAAGAGACATGGGTTCGATCCCTGGGTTGGGAAGATCCCCTGGAGTTGCAGATGGTAAGTCGCTCCAGTTGTCTTGCTTGGGAAATTCTATGGACAGAGGAGCCTGGCAAGCTAACAGTCCATGGGGGTCACAAAGAGCTGGACACGACTGAGCACATCCACATGCTCTTAACTATAGCAACTCTTACAAAATGGAGGAGTGGCTTAAAAATTCCTGCAAGGAAATCTGAGTTGAAGGAAATGTCAACAATGCAAAGAATCTGCATTCAATAAGAAAACAGCAAAACTTCTTCCACTCCTCCTAGGAGCTCTTCATCAGTTACGTTGTGAGATTAAAAAAAAAAAATGATGACCACCTAGATCTGCCAAGAAATCAAAACCCAAAGAGTTATCAAGAAGATAATTTTAAATATAGATTTACATTTATACCAATCGCTCAATATTTTTTGTATTAGAATACAGGCTGCAGAAGGGTAGGGACTTATTGTTTAAAACACTACTTCCCCATATTCTTTGCCTGACACATAGTAGATGTTCCACAAATATCTATCAATAAGACGGAATATGTAACGGTGAATGGCACATGCTTATATTTTCCAAGGATGTATCCAACAATATCTCCCACCCCACAGGTGGCTTACAGTGTGATCTTGTTATTTGCTTATTAAGAGGCACAGTCTAACTCCCTACTTCTTAAATCTGGACAGGCTTATAACTGCTTGGCTGGACAGCTCAGGAAGGAAGGAACACTCTGCTGAGATTAAGTCAGGAAAAGCCAGGCAGCCTCTCCATCTGGTCTTCTTCTGACGTTTGTTCTGAGGGAACCAAGCTGACAGGTTTGAGGTCTAGCTACACTGACAGCACCATCATGGAGACGCACATGACTGTGCCCGGGCCCAGGGCCCCAGCTGAGTCCCGGGGCTCCAGGCGTGCGCATGCGACCCCCTGAACCTCCACCCCGTCACGTCTTCCATGACTGCAACTCTGGGCAGCACTGTGCTGTGCCTAGGCACTCAGTCGTGTCCGATTCTGTGACCCCGTGGGTTGGACTGCAGCCCGCCAGGCCCCTCTGTCCATGGGATTCTCCAGACAAGAACACTGGAGCAGGTTGCCATGCCCTCCTCCAGGGGATCTTCCCAACCCAGGGATCAAACCATGTCTCCCACACTGCAGGTGGACTTTTCACCATCAAAGCCACCAGGGAAACCCCCTGGCTTCCACTGATGGAAGCAGAAGTGGAGCCCCACTTGACTCCACCAGTGAGGGGCTCCACATAAAGACCACCCAGCCGAGCCCTTTACTAATTCTGACCCGGACAACGTGAGCAAAATAAAAGCGCTGGTTGAAATTACCAAATTTGGGGATAACTGGATGCTCAGCACAAAGAAACCGGAACAATGTCCCTCATCCCAGGTCCATGTGAGGTCTTGGTATGTTCTAAAATAATAACATGAAGCCATCACAAGCCGAAAAACATGTAATATTTTGCTTGCAGATCACATTTAACACTAATTTTGTTTAGTGAGAGCAGAGATTTCTTTTACTATTAATTAATAAAGTAATTAGATTACAAGCTGTTTATTTCAGTTTAATGTTACTCATTTAAGCTTCTAACTTGCTTTTATTTATGCTTTACAGTGGACATAAGATACTAGTATTTCAGTGCAAATATATGATCTGTATATGGCGGGGAGGGGCTTACTGGTAAAGAACCCATCTGCCAATGCAAGAGACCCGGGTCCGATCCCTGGGTTGAGACAATCCCCTGGGGGAAAATGGCACCTACTCCAGGATTCTTGCCTGGGAAATCCCGTGGACAGAGAAGCCCAGCGGGCTACAGTCCACCGGTTCGCAAACAGTCAGATACGACTGAATGACTGAACAGCAAAACAACTTCACTTCCTTATCAGGAAAAGAGAGCTGATTACAGCATCAACTGCACAGACTTCCGGCCAGAATTAAATGAGACTATATTTTCTCTGAGAGTTGCACAATGCAGCAGGAAGAGGGTGGGGAGTGGAGTCTCTGCTCTTCTGCTCATGGCCAAGTTTACTTGGGTGACGTATTTAACTGCCCTGCAACTGGTCCTCACCAAGAAGTAAAATTAATAGTAGAACTTGTCGCCTATGATTTTTATAACTGACATCACAGGTGTTCTATGCTGTTTCTAGCAGATAGTAAGCACTCAACACATGGTAGTTGCTGGTCGCATGGAGGTTCTTCTCTCACTAAGTTGCAAGTCCCATAAGGACAGGACTTTTGCCTGTTTCAGTTGCTGCTAAAGAACAGGACCTGACACATAATAGATGTTCAGTAAATTTGTTTATTTAATGGCCAGTTTGTTTATTTAATGACCAATTAAACAACTGTCATCAATAGGAAATACACTATCCCTTATGGGCTTCCCAGGTGGCACCAGTGGTAAATAATCCAGCTACCAATGCAAAAGATGCAAGAAATGTGGGTTCGATCCCCAGGCGGAGAAGATCCCCAGGAGGAGGAAATGGCAACCCACTCCAGTATTCTCACCTGGAGAATCCCATGGACAGCGGAGTCTGGCGGGCTACAGTCCATAGCGTCGCAGAGTCTGACATGACCGAGCGCATACACTATCCATCCAGACTCGCTCAGTCCTTAGTCTCTTCATCTAAGCATCCCGCGTTTCCCAGATTTTCTGATTGGGATTTTTTATTCAGTGAAGAGTTATAAAGCACATATTTCATTTTGAATACCAATCTACACTCTAGGATAGAATAGCAAACAAGACATGATAATATCTTCCCCTAGGAGTTTATCTTCCCACAGAGAGAGGGAGGGAGACTGTATTTCAGCTGGTTGATAAGGTCAATGAAAGAAAGAAAGTCCGGTGATGTCAGGGAGTTGGGTGGTTCATCGTTGATAGGTAATGGTCAGGGAAGGATCCTGAGAAAGTGGCTTTTGAGCTGATCCCCAAAAGACGGGAAGAAGTCTTACAAGGAAAGAAAGAGCTGACAGAAGAGAACCCCAGGTAGTAGTCACGGGGTGGATTACAGATTAAATTCTTGTTCTTGTTGTTGTTCAGTTGATCGGTCGTGTCTGACTCTTCCGTGACCCCAAGGACTGTAGCCCACCAGGCTCCTCTGTCCGTGGGATTCTCCAGGCAAGAAAACTGGAGTGGGTTGCCATTTCCTTCTCCAGAGGATCTTCCTGACCCAGGGATTGAACCCACACCTCCTGCATTAGTAGGCAGGTTTTTTTAAATCACTTTTAACACCTTAGCAAGCAGCGTTGTTTAAGTGCTGAAAAAAGGGACCATCAGCTGCACTCAGAGAGCCCAGAAACACCCTGTGGAACCAGGAGTTGCTCAGAAAGCACATCAGATGCTAAATGTGTCCTTGTTCTTCTCATCTTTCCATCTCAAACCACCATTTGCCAATTGTTCTCCCACACTAAATCCGCTATACTGTTCCAGAAGTGATGTGCATTGTTTTTTATGAATCTGAATACACACATACATGTAAACACATGCATTTTGTAAATGTCCCTGAAACAATAAAGCACACTTAAGAAGCAGGTACCAGTTCCTGCTACCTACAGTCAACCTAGGTTTAGGGATTTTTTTTTTTTCCCCTCTTTCTGTCTCGAAGCACAGAGATACTGCATTTTGTATGTTTTTCCCCACTGTGATCATTCTGATTTTGTGACTGTGTATTAGTTGCCCTGGCAACATGGTAGACTTGGATCTGATTGGTCAGGCTGGCAGGTTCATTGTCAGAGTCGTGGGCCCAGTTTTGAGTGGTAGATGTATGCGTGTTAACCAGAGCTACATAGACAAGCTTGGCCAAGAAAACCTGTTCTAGCAGAACCTCTGTATCCCTTCTGCCAGCTAAAAAGACCTTTCTTCCACCTGCTGTGAATATCCCTTGCACTGCTTTTGGGAAGATGCAAACTCATCTGTATCTTTGAAATATCTGTTAGAAAATGTGCTCAATATCGGTATTTCAGCCCACAGTGCTGAACACATTTATCTGTAATGAGAAATTAATTCTCAAGGAAGTTAAGGGAAAATGATCCAATTGCTGGACCACGGGATTAGAACCTGCTACACAGCCTGAATTCCAACATACTGTGCAATCTGGAATGATTCACAAACTCAGCCAAATGCTTCATTTTCTGTAAATAAATTTCATTCATAAAGAAAGAGCCCTCCCTTAAGAATGAGGTCCTAAGAGCGTAGTGTGCTAAAGATTTTAAATGGGACAAAATTCCAGGACATTTTATGCCAATAATATGGAATCATTTATTTATTCAATTTTCAAGGTGCATTGTTTACTTATTAGAGTCTGGCTCTATTCATTTGCCAATTACCTAGAAAAAAACAAACTCCTGCCTTTAGCTGAAAATCTTTATTGGCCAGTGAATAAAGAATTGCAGCACAAGGTACAGACCAATGACTGACAAAGTAACAGTTATATTTTTCTTATTTGCACAAATTTCTATACACACTTGGCTTGCTTTTCACAACCTTTGCGTTTTCAAAGGCATGTCACTGACGCCTAGATCTACCGTCCTCTCTACATTGGAACATATTATGTTTAACTGCACTATATAACCAGCATAGTCTTAATATAGACGTAAAAGTCATTGGCAAGCAGTCATTTTTCACCTGGGTTAAGCGTTACAGTATGTTCAGCTCCAGTAAAGCTAACATTTAGGCTGTCCAATTTCAAAGAAAAAAAAATCTGAAGGGAAAAGAGACAAGAACCACCTTCCAAACAGTCTTCCAAAAAAGATGACTGCATAGTAATAATTAATTCCTCTGCTAAACTTACTGGAGGGAAAACATGCCTTAGGAAACTCCTGTTTTTGCCCCCATTGAGAATAAATGCCTTGTTAATTGTGCACAGAGCAAGGATAGAATCAGAGTATGATCAGGGAACCAATCAATCCTTCAGGATTTAACCAATGAAACAACTGATATTAGCTTTCAAATATCACATGCTTTCTACAATATCAACTCATGTTCTTGGGTTTTGTTACAGAGTCTTGTTTGCAAGCCTATCAGTACTTCATACAGAATAAATATGGTTAACAAATTCACTAATTTTTTTTTACTCACAGCACAATTATGTAGTCTGAGATTTGTATGAAGGGCATTAATTTAAATGTAAATCCCAGAAGTAGGAAATGGCAACCCACTCCAGTATTCTTGCCTGGAAAAGTCCATGGACAGAGGAGGCTGACAGACCACGGGGTCACAAAGGGTGAGACATGACTGAGCAACTGCGCTCGTGTGCAAACACTGAAAATAGTGACCTCCCTGGGCTCAGTGGTTTAAAAACAAAATAATCCGTCTGCCAATGCAGAAGACACAGGTTCTATCCCTGGGCCGGGATCCTCTGGAGAAGGGAATGGCAACCCACCCCAGTATTCTTGCCTGGGAAATCCCATGGACAGAGGAGCCAGGCAGGCTACAGTCCGTGGGGTCGCAGAGTCGGACACTACTGAGCAACCAGACAACAACTTAAACATCAGAGTTTTGATAACCCTCCGGTGGTGTGTTTTCATTGTGGGTGTAACACAGAACCGCCCGTGGAAGTGGCCTGGGCCTCTCAGGGGTCAAGAGGCCTGCCTGCTCCAGAATTTGTGCACAAAGTTCTTCAGGGAACACCCTTCTCTTGGGAAGGAGCTGGGGGCCTTGGCAAGAAGAGCCTGCCCCGCTGACCCCCGCTTCCGTCTCTCCTCCGACTGGTCCTGTTCTCAGAAGCCACCCTCCCTGACCTCTCACTCCCTACAGCTCCGGGCCACAGACGAGCACCCAGAACATCAGCTTCAGAGCTTTGGGGAAGATACAGCAGAACAAGTAAACGAAAACCGCAGTGTAAGTCTGCCAGGGTAGCACTCATTGAAAGGGGAAAAAATAACAAGGGCAGGGCCGGGAAGGAGGGGCTGGTGAGAAACAACAACAAAAGCTCGGAGGCGATGGAGATAATCTGAGCACAGAATGGGGCCCACAGGAAAGATTCTGTGCGGACCCAGGGACAGGACGCGGTGCCGTGAAAGGGGACAAAAGGACGCGGGCGCCAACGGACCAGGGACCACGGCGGCGCCGCACAAAGCCGCGCAGTCCTGCTCTCGCCAAGGTGCACGCGCCGGTAAACGCCGGCGCGTGGGGAACAAAGGGTGTCATAGCAACCTCCGCAACGCCCTGCTACCGCCGCGGCGCTCCCGGCCATCCATCAGGGAGCCGCCGGATCCAAACCTGGCATTCACCCGGGGAGGCTCGAGCTGCCCGTCGGAGGGGTCCAGGCCCCTGCAGCGCACTCCTGTCTCCCTGTCCTCCTCCCGTCCCCCATAAAATCTGAGCTCGGTCTGTGCCAAGCCGCCGCCTCCCTCCTCCCAACAGCTGCTTCTCTGAAAGGCAGGGGAACAGAATCCGGACGCAGCATCCTGACACACGTCCCCGGTTATGTCTCCCCAGTTGTTTCAGATCTGGGTAGAGCAGCCTTTCCCTGCGCTCCGCAAAACTCCCCTGTTCCTTTGAAAACAAAGACAAGATAATAACAGAAGAAGAGGGAGAAAGCACATAAACGCATTTTGCTTGATCTTGCGAAATCAAGCATCCTACTGTTCGAACTCACTTGGGACTGTGGGTTTCCAGTGGGATATAAAGCTCATTTACCTGTGCCTAATTCAGGAGAGGAACGCTCATTCCCTTCCACCTCTATCTTCTACTTAAATCATAGGTCTCTTCTTTATTAATAGACCATCGCGTCTTTCCTACTTTCTTCTGGTTGGAGTGGGGGAAATACTGTGACACCGGAAAAAAAGAGAAGATGAGTGTTTCGCCAGCAAGACTTGGAAGGCTGTAGAAAATAAAAGAGAACTTTTACAAGAACCTAATGGAGATATTGACATGTGTGTCTGGAAATCTAAACTTAGCAAAGTGTAAGGGAAGAACAGGCTTTCGCACTTTATTTCTGTATCTGGAAAGTTTCAGCGGCTGGTACCATATGAATATTTATTAATGCATTGTGAATCAGAACCTGTGATTATTACTCAAACTATCTTTTTACCTTACAAGCTTCAACTCAGAAGAATAAAAACACATCTGCTTTTGCTCTTCCCATATTTTATTCAATGTTTTAACAGCTTTGCTGTAAATATCTCATCCATTACGATTCAGTTGTGACTGTATCGACTTCACGTCTCCTGCTTTATTACTGTCATTGCAGTGAAACAATACACTGTTAATTCTGTTAACTAACAAGTTCATTGTTCAAGCTAGTCAGCGATCTCCTGTTTGTTGGGTCCACATGTTAAAAGAGAATTGGTTATAAATCAAAGGAGGGCTTGAGTGAGGCGTGTTCCCTTTGTTTAGACGAGTGGGTCTTTGAGATTGTCGCTCAATATGCTGTCGTGGAAGGGATGAGTAAATCTGAAGATAGGGCCAAATGCAATCATGTTAGATAAAGAGGTTGCACAGCCCTCAGAGAAGTCAGCTCTGGGATTTGCAGGCACCCTTACAGCTTCTGATTCTCTGCGTGAAACCTGCACCTCCTTTATAGCTTGCATCCAATGGAGACCTTGGAAACCTGTCTTCTTCTAGATTCGTCCCAGCAGAAACGTATTCCTATTTCTTTTCACCTAGGCGTGACCTGGTTTGTCTGTCAGTGGGGTCTGAGAGCTAAGGAGGTGGGTTCTGCATTCCCGCAGACCTGGCTTGCGTTCCAGCGCTGGCATTTCCCAGAAGAACCGACTCAGATGACTTAGTTACCACCCATGAACCGCATGTGCAGAGTGGGCGCTGCCATCATTCCTCTTCATCAGGTCGTTGTGATAATGAAAGGAGCAAATCTTTGTAAAGTTCAGGATTCAGTGCAGAAAGCAGAAGCCACTCCAGTTATTCCAAGCGTTAACTGAGTTACTTTGAGTGATAGGTATACCAGTTAGGGTTTCCCAGGTGGTGCTGGTGGTAAAAAACAAAACAAAACAAAAACCCGCCTGCCAATGCAGGAGACATAAAGAGAATCCCTTGGACAGAGGAATCTGGCGGGCTATCCTGGAGTCCATAGCGTCTCAAAGAGTCGGACACGACCGAAGCGACTTAGCACACACACATATACCAGTTGTCTATTATCATGATAATGTTGAAACACACACACACACATGCACACACACATCAGCTGAAAACAAAGAGCATTTATTTAAATCACAGGTTTGCAGATCAGAAACAGAAACTGGGGCTTGGCTGGGCAGTACTGGGCAGTTCTTCCAATCACATTAGCTTCACCCCATGTCTTGCTGGTGCATCTGGGCCAAATGTGTGAATCTCCAGCAGGATATCCTGAGCATTTTCCAGGCAGAGGCAGAGGAGAAAATGGGATCTTTCTTGGTAATACTTGCTAGTATTCCACTGATCAAAGCAAGTTTCATGTTAAGCCCACAGACAGGGTTGATGTAGATAGAATGTCCCACCTAGAGTGGCTGCACCTTACGGTGACCAATCATGCCAGTTTTCCAGGGTCTGAGGAGGTTCCCTGGATGCAGAACCTTCAGTGTTAAAACTGGGGCAGTGCTGGACAAACTGGGAGGCACTAGTAACTGTTGGCACCTTTCTGGGGCAAGAACACGGGTGCAAGGAGGGTCTTATAAAAGGGTCTAATGAAAATTTTACACAAGGGACTTAGACGTTGCCTGTCAAGTCACTGGAAGAATTGGAAGGGAGACTATTAGTTTGCAGGTCATGGTACTGTTTTTGCTGCTGTGACCATTTCTGCTGTTGTCTCAACCCAGGTGATGGTCAGACACTGGAACCTGGCGTCTGACTGACATGGAGTCACACCGTGAGCCCTTGCTTGTTACCTGCCATGGCTGGAGGAGGCAGCTCTCTCTCACTCCCGTCTTCCAGATCTCGCACAGGACAACTGATGGAGAGAGTCTGACTCTACCCCGGAACTCTGACCACCTGGGGACCCTGGGCATCTTTCTACTGAGCTTCCCAACCTCTCAGAAGAGGAGAAAGAAACGGGGTGTGGAGGCTGCAAGCATCCACTACAAAGTCTTCCACAAACACGTGGCTCGTGGGGAATGTTATCAGCTGTGGTGGTGACATCATTCATATTGATTCCCTGATACGACCCACTCCTAATCCCCAGGCTGGTAACCCTCTGTCTAGGTTAGCTAAAATTAGAAGCAAACTCCTAAGGTAACTGATTCCTAGAATGCTACTCTCAAAAGGGTAGAATCATTTTAAAGAAAACAGCTTTTGTTGCATTTCAACTCCAGGGACAATTGGGGAATTGTAAGACATAAGCCTTTTCCCACTTTATTTTGTTTTAGGTATTACTGGGTTTTCTTTTTTTCTCCTAATTCCACTTCTGAAAATTATCTGGGTATCCTCAACCTCTAAAAGGTTTTCTTCAAACTCTGGGTGAAGATTGACATCGGAACTCATCACTTTAGCCCAGCTGACTTCTTTGTAATCACATAATTACAAAGTAAATAAGAAAAGAGGATGAATTCTGAGGGCATCTGAAATGAGCACCATAGATCCTGGCCTGTATCTGACCTATTCTTAAAAAAAGAAAAAAAAAAAAAAAACCTTATTTTGAGAAAGTCCTCTGCATCTACCGATTTTAAAACGCAAATGAGCTGAATTTATTAGGAAAAATTCTGTTTCATTAGAGACAATTTTCCTAAGATACACTTCCTTAAGGAAAACATACCTTAGTTGTGATTCTAAATCTGTCTCCTGAGAAATCTTGGACGCCTGCTGATCATTTTGAATTCTTTGCCACCCTTAACTTTCTGGCTGCATGTTAGAAATCATTTTAAATGAATTGAATAAAATTCACAAGTGTTATATGCCAGCAAATGATGAACTCACAGGAAATATGACTCAAATCCACTTTTTTTCATTTTGTTTTTTTCTAATAATAAATAGAAATGAACAAATGTGGCTTTAATGACATCTTGGAGTGAGAGCTTTTATTGATGTAGTATCAGTTGGAAGCATGTAATGCTTTGGTGAAATAAATTCCACTCTGCATATTTATAACCAGATTGAAAACGGTGTGTTTGTTATTTTGTGTGACACACCCTAATGATAGTGAAGTTTTTATATATGAAGATTTACATGCTCCATCATAAAAACGAACAATACTTCAGCTTACAAAATCTTTCTTTGATTGAAGATGTTTTTGTACTTACTTAGTTTCCAATTACCTTTTTAACTTGCACTCACAAACTACAAATACCTATTCCTCATTGCTGTAAAGCCATGAACAGATACTCCAAACCATATCAGTTGAAAGAAAATATGGGGCATCTGTTGAGAGTGACAAGTCCCTCTTTAGACAGCTGAGGTTCTGGTCATTAATTACAGTTTATGTCAGGCCAACCTCTTTGGGTTGCAAAAAAAAGAAACTGGCTTGAGAAAAAAGGGAATCCACTGGCATGTAAGTATAGAGGGCTAGTTTCAGACACAGTGGGATGAAAGTACTCAAATGATGTCAGCAGAACCTGATATCCCTTCATCCCTGAGCTTTGCTTTCTGACTTGTGTTAACTTCCTTTTAAAACAGGATCTGTCCACAAAAGTCACAAGATGATAATAACTCTCTCTCCACCCCCCGCCACTCTCTCCCTCCCACCTCCTACCAGCTGAAGAAAATCAAGAATATTCCTCAGTTCAGTTCAATTCAGTCACTCAGTCGTGTCCAACTCTGCGACCCCATGAACCGCAGCACATCAGGCCTCCCTGTCCATAACCAACTCCCAGAGTCTACCCAAACTCATGTCCATTGAGTCGGGGATGCCATCCAACCATCTCATCCTCTGTCATCCCCTTCTCTTCCCGCCCTCAATCTTTCCCAGCATTAGAGTTGTTTCAAAAGTGGCAGCTCTTTGCATCAGGTGGCCAAAGTATTGGGGTTTCAGCTTCAACATCAGTCCTTCCGATGAATATCCAGGACTGATCTCCTTCAGGATGGACTGGTTGGATCTCCTTGCAGTCCAAGGGACTCCCAAGAGTCTTGTCCAACACCACAGTTCAAAAGCATCAATTCTTCAGTGCTCAGCTTTCTTTATAGTCCAACTCTCACATCCATACATGACCACTGGAAAAACCATAGCCTTGACTAGATGGACCTTTGTTGACAAAGTAATGTCTCTGCTTTTAATATGCTGTCTAGGTTGGTCATAACTTTCCTTCCAAGGAGTAAGCATCTTTTAATTTCATGGCTGCAATCACCATCTGCAGTGATTTTAGAGCCAAAAAAAATAAATTCAGCCACTGTTTCCACTGTTTCCCATCTATTTCCCATGAAGTGATGGGACTGGATGCCATGATCTTAGT